GGTGAACGGTTAGGGAATTCATGTTGGCCGATACGAGCAGTAATAGTGGGATGCTGACGAGGTGTAGCTCCATGCAAGCTTATTAGCTACCAGCTAACATGAAACGGAGCGTGAGGTGCGTGGAGACATATAGTGGTCGCGCGACCTGGCCTGGGAGTCAACATTCTGGGGTATGATTTTTGCTCCACATTGGCAGCATCGCTTTCCTGTTTGAGCTGTTGCTTTGTGAGGTCTTTTTCATGCATATGCATTGCGAGGTTGAAACTGAATACCATTGCTCGTTCCCTAACAGAAAGACTTTACAATTCTGTAACACTGATATGTTTCGGCAATATCTGGTTTTCGTGACCAGGTTTCGTCCACCGAGATCTACCCTACACTTCCGCTTCCCACGAATTCACCTGCGACAACCTGCGCAGACACCGCAAGCCTCCACCGTCGGAACAGCCAATAATCACTCGACATTCAGCGCCACGGGAATAATGTTTTTCACACGTTTTTTTCCAACAGCCGCAATATTTTCACGAATGCCTGCAACAGTCAGGTGTACACGCAGTTCGGCAGAGCTCTTTGTTGATTGATTTAGCTAAAACTGACTACACAGTATATGAAAGCTCCTTACATGACAAAAGTTTGTCTTCCGCTTCTTGCGCTCCATCCTAGCACCTTGCTGAGCAGAACCGAGCCGCAGGCAACATCTCAACCTTAGCCAGTCGCCGCCATTCAAGGCCGAGAAGGATGTGCATGATGTGACGGGGAGGGGAGGGGGAGCGGAGGGGAGGGAGAGACGAAAGGGGAATGGATGAGTTTGACGAAAAAGCTGCTCCAATTTCAACTTCCGCCAATGAATTTCCTCGGTAGAGCATACATGAGCAGGCCACGAGTGAACAACTTCCTTCCCTTCCCCATTCGCCACCCGCAATTCTCCTGTGCACTTCCTTCGAAAGCCATACCAGGAGCTGTCTAATGACTGACGTTGTTCATGACGAGCTCAGACGTATGATCACGAACACGACATACTAAAACAGGGGATTGCATTCCAACCGCTGCGCGTCGAGATAGTCCCATTCATTCGATCCGATATTTCCAGGCGCCTCAGAAATTGCCTCGTATAGGTGGTCGAGACTCTCAGACATCTGAATCAAGGACTATCCAAAAAGTCACTTCCGAGGCAGCAGCGTTCACTATCGAGCAGCGTGCGCCGACGAGATCAGTAAACAAACCAGGGCTTCATTTCCGTGCGCACAGCTGCAGCGTAGTCACGGTCTTTGTTGCACCCACGCTGCGGCTGCTCAACAGCGCTGCTTTACGCAATCAAACACTATGCTCACTTCCCCCCGCGGCGCTGCGCGCGGCGGCGGAAAACTTCTTCCTTCCGAACGTCGTGGTCCGTTGGCAATGCCTACTAGAAGTAGAGACTTTTTCGCGTCCCGGCAGGCGTGCTACGCGGTGATCGTGCTTCTTGCGCTGCACGCGAGCGGCAGTGTCGCAGTCGCAGGTCAGTCATGCGTCGAGGCCCGTCCTTCTACTAGAAGATAGTACCTTCCTTGCCTTCCGCTATTTCCCTTTTTGGATCGCGACTCGCGCGCATGCTAGGCAACAATCTTCCCGGCCCCTGCCTCCCTTCCCATTCCTCCCCGCCATTCATCCTTCCAATGCTACTAGTGAGTCAATAGATTATCCAATCGGCCTTCAAATCGTGTTATCTCCTTCCGTTACTTACTCTCACTTCCCCTTTCTCGTCTGTTCCCAACTGCCACGGTCCATTTGACAACATCATCTAAATAGCCCCTCGAAAGGGATCCGTCCCGAGCTATCCATGCAGCGCGAATCCCGCTCTGGCCTCGGTTTCTCCCAAGTATGCGAACCGGTTCTTCCGGCTGATCAGCAGCCTCTACGACTCGGCGACGGGGGATGTCCTGAGTGGCATTTTCACCGAAGGCCGCAATTGGGCCGAGGACCCGCGCCTAACGGACCCGCGAATCGCGCCGGTTCTCGCGCTGCGCACCGAAGGCAAATGCAGTGAGTGTGGCGCCGCGGGCTGATTTTCTTTCGAGAGATTTTGAAAGGCAAACACACGTGAAATGAGCGCGAGATAGCGCGCAGCGTCGCGATGGTACACGCAGGCCAACGGTATCACGCTGACACAGGCTGGCACGCGGCATGCACGTCGCGCACGCCCGCGCTGTCTCGCGCAAGCGAGCACTCAGAGAACAATGCAATCACGCAGGCGGGCGGGCATGTGCTGGGGGGAGGGGGAGGGGGAGGGCCTGTTTCTGGGGAGAAGAGGAGAGCACAGCGAGGCTTATTTTCCGTCCTACTGATGAGATTATCTGTGTTTTCATTCTTGCCGCTCAGGTATTTCTCAGCTATATGCCTTGCTTTTCCCACAGGAAACCATTTTTTCGCCCTTCTCCTCTTTTCCCCTCTCCTCCCCCTTCCCCTCCCCTTCCCCAGAGTCATCATGGGCCATCACTGCAGTAAGCGCGGTGGAAATGGCATACGCTTTAGTGGCTGCCTCGACGCCCTCCATGGATCCCCCCCAGCGCCTATCCGTACAGCAGGTGCGCAAGCTACTACCCAAGCACGGGCTTTAACGTGAGCAGTTACTTCGGCTGAGTTATTATGCGTGCTTATACGCGTGCAGCTTATACCGTGTACACGCAGCTTTGCACCTAGCAGCAGCAGCAGAAGCAGGTTGTTGAATGCAGGCTCACCATCAGATGCTCTGTTCTGTACCTCCCCTCACCCCCCAAACCCAACCTCCTCAGATACTGGACTGCAGGAACAGCACCGGCAGCAGCTGCAGTGAGGCGGATGGCCCACCCACCCACTCGCTTCCCTTCCCCCTGCCGTCACCCACTCTCCCCACTCCCGACCCCTCAGATACTAGACTGCAGGAACAGCACGGGCAGAAGCTGTGCGGCGGGCGGGTGGCCGACGGCAGCGCTGGACTACTTGGTGGACGCCACCATGACGTTTGGGGGGCAACTCATTGCAGTTCTCTCCTCCCGCATCTACCCTTCAGGTGCTGGACTGCAGGAACAGCACTGCCAGCTGCAGTGCGGGCGGGTGGCCGACGGCAGCGCTGGACTTCATGGTGGACGCCACCATGACGTTTGGGGGGCTTGCGACCGAGGCTGGCTACGCCTACACTCAGAAGGATGGCAAATGCAGCAGGGGAAAGGTACGGCTGGGGGAGGTATGCCTGGGGGAGTGCACGGTGACGTGGGGGGGGCCTTGCCACCGAGGCTGGTTACGCGTACACTCGGAAGGCAAATGCAACCGCGGCAAGGTATGCCTGGGGAAGGCACGTCTTCGAGAGGCATGCAGGGATAGATTCAGTTCGCTAACCAACTGGGATAAAAGGGCATGTTTCCTTGGTGGGTCAGCGCACCCATACCCCATTAAGACGACACCTAGCCCTTGTGGAGACCAGTTCAGGTCATTCCAGTGTCCACTTCCAACAAGGCACGCCAGGGGAGGTACCCGTGGGGAGGTACGCCTGGGGGAGGTACGCCCGGGGTAGGTACGCCTGGGGGAGGTACGCCCGGGGGAGGTACGCCTGGGGGAGGTACGCCTGGGGGAGGTATGCCTGGGGGAGGTACGCCTGGGGGAGGTACGCCTGGGGGAGGTACGCCTGGGGGAGGTACGCCTGGGGGAGGTACGCCTGGGGGAGGTACGCGTGGGAGTGGGGTGCACTCGGGGATGGTGCTTGCGCGTGTAGTCACATGCTCTTTCGCCTCTGGTCAAGTATTTTCATGTGGTTTTCCGCCCAGGCTCATATACCCATGTGCGCTGTGGGGGATCCATGGACCGCGCTTGTTGTGAGATGAGCCGTTCATAACCATGTGCCCATACCCATGTGCCCATGCCCATATACCCATCCCTATGTGCCCGTGCCCTGTCTCTCCCCCCAGTCGAAGCAGCAAGCGACAACCATAGGCGTGATGGGGTACGACCAGGTGGACTACTATGGCTGGCTGGGCCTGATGCTCGCTGTCAACGTAAGGGAGGGTGCTGATGATAATGACGCTGCAGTGGTTCAGATAATGACGGCAGTGCAGGCGGTAGAGTAGGCGGCAGTGCAGGCGGCAGTGCAGGCGGCAGTGCAGGCGGCAGTGCAGGCGGTAGTGCAGCGGACGGGATTGCAGGAAATTTATGTGCTGGATTTGTGCACACAGTTAGTACTTTCTTGGAACGAAGCTGCTTCAGGCCTTCCTGTTTCCCCTTCTCCCACACATTTCAACCCGCCCATTCCTCGTCTCCCCTTCTCTCCTCCCTTCTCGTCTCCTCAACTTCCCTCTCTTCCCCCTTCCCTCCCCTCCTACCCACTCCACTGCCCCAATGCCCTCCTGTCTTTTGAGTCGACTCAAAAGTTTGCCCACTCCACCACCCCAATGCCCTCCTGTCGCAGACTCAGCCCACCATTGCATTCGTGCGAGGCTCCTACCCCTCCTTCCAGACCTACACAGATGTAAGGAAAACAGATGGCATGGTGTTTTTGTTTTTTGGTAGTATTAAAGACTCTTACCCATTCTTCCAGACGTTTATGTAGTATCAGATACTCTTGCTTATCATTCCAGATGTACACCCCTCTTCCAGTCCTCCTCACAGTCAGGTAGGAGGGGCGTTGTTTCAGATGATGTTGAGCAGTCATAGCTTGTGGTAAACTGTGCTCATCCTTCCCCTTTTCCCTCCACCACTCCCTCCCTCCTCTCCCACCACCTCTCCCTCCTTCCTCTCCCCCCCCACCACTCCCTCCCTCCTCTCTCCCTCCACCTCTCCCTCCTTTTTCTCAAGCAGTCCTCTCCCTCCACCTCTCCCTCCCTTTTCTCAAGCAGTCCTCTCCCTCCACCTCTCCCTCCACCTCTCCCTCCTTTTTCTCTCCCTCCAACTCTCCCCTTACCCCTCTCCCGTTCACGTCTCCCCTTCCGTCCTCTCATCCGTCATGGCATAGGTGTGCAGGAACAGGAGTGGTGGATCACAGCGTGCTCGTGATGGGGTCTGTTCATCTTTCCCCTTTTCCTCGCTTCCCCCTCCATCTCTCTCCCACCCACCCCAGAGAAGGCATATACAGCGACCCAGGGTGTGCAGCATCGGGGGTGGTGGGTCACAGCGTGCTGGTGATGGGGGCCTGTTAGTTGAGCTCATCCTTTTTATTCTCCCTGCACCCCTCCCCCCTTCAGGGCATATACAGCGACCCAGGGTGTGCAGCGGCGGGGGTGGTGGATCACAGCGTGGTGGTGATGGGGTACAGCTTAACGTCATCAGACGGCGCCTACTGGATCCTGCGCAACAGCTGGGGGGCCACCTGGGGCATGCAGGTGGGTGGGGTAGAAGTTGAGACGTCTCAGAACGGGTGGTGGATCACAGCGTGGTGGTGATGGGGTACAGCTTAACGTCATCGGACGGCGCCTACTGGATCCTGCGCAACAGCTGGGGGGCCACGTGGGGCATGCAGGTGGGTTGGGTAGAAGTTGCATGCTTTGTTGAGACGCCTCAAAACGAGTGGTGGATCACAGCGTGCTGGTGATGGGGTACACCTAAACGAACTGGAGGGTGCATACTGGATCCTGCGCAACTCCTGGGGGGCCACCTGGGGCATGCAGGTGCGTTGCGTGCTTTGCAGGTGCCATCCTTCCCGTCTTCTCCCCTTCTTCCCTCCCTGTTTTGCCTCCCCGTTTCCCCCTGTCTATCTCGCTTCGTGCTTCCTCAATCTCTGCTCTGTACTCCCGTTGCTCCCGTTGCTCCCGTTGCTCCCGTTGCTCCCGTTGCTCTCGCTCTCTGCGTGTGCAGGGCTACAAGGGAACGGCCTCAGGAAACATTCATTCTTTGCGCTCCCACTCTCCACTTGCAGGGATACATGCAAATGGCCTTTGAGGGAGGCGTTGGCATCTGTGGAATTCACTCAGTGCCGGCCCTCTACCCCATCATCCAGAGTGAGTAGACCTCCTCGCTTCATTCCAAAACAGTGAATGCATGCACACCAGCGCCCTTGCCATGCTAGTCACCGCAGAACCCATGTGGGGGAGGCACATGCGTGGAGGAGAATGATAAATTCTACACGTGCACGTGCCTGGACCAGCTCTTCATTCCCGTTGCTGACAAAGGCGGCGCCCAGACGTGTGTGTTTGGTGAGTGGCGCTCACATGTGTGTGTTTGGTGAGTGCCTTACAAACGCCCAGTAAACATGATTGAAGCTCACACGACTTTTCCCCCGCTTGCCGTGCATCATCATCTTCCCTACCTTCCCATCATACCCATGACCTTACATTAACCTCTTCCGCACCCACCACCGCCCCTCCCTCCTCTTCCTGCCCCGCCTAATAAAATCTCCGCTTCCGCCTCTTCCCCTTCCCCTGCGCCTTTTCCCCTCCCCTTGTCCCCTCGCCCCCACCCACTCACTCGCCCACCCGCCCCCTGCCAGCCGACGTGTGCAGCCAGAAGGACGAAAACCCGTGTGCAGTAGGCACGTGCATCAACGACAATGCGGGTGGCTTCTTTTGTCTCTGTCCGCCGGGATTCGATCAGGGGTATCGCCCCAACGGTGCTCACACCGTTCAGGGGTATCATCCCATGTAAGTGTTCAAGCGGGCGGCTGCTCCTGTCCTTTTGAGATTCATGTTTCTTTAGGAGCAGCAACTAATCACAACTATCTCATCCCATGTATGCAATGTTACTTCTGAATTATCACTGCATCTTCATCTCTTTTGTGTTATTCTCGCTTCTCAATCTCCTCTTCTCCTCCTCGTCTCACCTCCTATTTCTCGCCTCTCCTCCTCTTTCTCTCCTTTCCTCCTCTTTCCTGCCTCCCCTCCCCTTTTCTCACCTCTCTCTTTCTCACCGCTCCTCCTCTCCTCTCGCCTCTCCTCTTCTTGCCTCTCCGCATCTTGCTTCCCACTCACCTAATTACACAACTTCGTCCTTCTTGGCCCTCTTCCCCTCCCTCCCTCCCGCTCTCCGTGCCTCTCTACAGCCCCCAACACCTTCCCCACGCTTTTTCGGTCCACAATAAAACTTGCTTTCTCTCTTTGTTTCTTTCTATCTTTCTTTCTTTTTCCTCCTTTTTTTTTTCACCGTAATCTTCCCTATAGACATCAGCTGCCCGCTCATCTACCCCGTTTCCCACCTCTACCCTCTCCCATCTCTCCCCCCCTCCACCCCCCTCCCTGCAGCCACCAACCCCAGCTACTCGGTCATCTTCCCAATAGACATCAGCTGACCGCTAGTCTACCAGCTCTACGGCCTCACAGAGGAGGCATTTCTCGCGCAGAACCTCAACCTGGTGAGCTTTGAGACCTGATAATAGCCCCTCAAAACACTACTTTCATCCTCGTGAGGCTATTCCACGAGGCTATTCCATTTTCTTGCGCAGAACCTCAACCGGGTGAGCCATTTCCTGTTGAGGTGACTGAACTGCTGTCTCTTTCTGAGGGTTTAGGGTAGTGGGAGGGGGAGTGGTTTGTGGGGGGGGAGTATGGGGAAAAGGGGACAAAGCAATTCCCACTGCCCCACCTGGGTTGCCCCTGTTCTGCCTGCCGTCTCTCCCACTCAGCAAGCAAGAAAACTTGAACTCGTGTTGCGAGTCAACTCACACATCCACCCACCACTCCCACCTCACCACACCACACCCAACCCCGTGCATTCACCTTTCGAATCCCTAGGAATGGAGCACTGTGTGACCATCCCCGCCAACAGGCAGTGAGCGTGGCGCCACCCCTGATGGAGCCGGTGCACTGTGCGCTCTATTACTCGTAGACTGGTCACTGGTGTAACTCACACCCCAACCTACCCCACCCCACCCCACCCCACCCCACCCCTCCCCACCCCTCCCCACCCCACCCACAGGGCACGGATCACTGCGAGACCATCCCGGCCAATACGGCAGTGAGTGTGCTGCCGCCCCTCACGGGGGCTATGTTCTGTGCGCTCTACTACTCGTGGACGGAAAATGACACGTGTGAGGGGCTGGCACAGACGCTTGGGCTTCTGGGCTGGGCAGCTGGGCTGGGCAGCTGGGTTGGCTGCCGAATTCCTCGCATTCTCCTCGCCTCAACCAACTGAACCCACACCTCCCACCTACCACCTACCCCAACCCACCCCACCCACAGGGCATGGACCACTGCGAGACCATCCCTGCCAACACGGCAGTGAGCGTGGCGCCGCCCCTCAAGGGGGCAGTATACTGTGCGCTCTATTACTCGTGGACGGAAAATGACACGTGTGAGGCGCTGGCGAGCAATTTCTGGCTCACAGTGGACGAATTGGAGGAGATCAACCCGGGCATCAACTGCACTGATAGCACCGCCTGGAATGCTCCTACTGTAAACCAGCAGGTGGGATGCGGTGTAGGGCGGTGTAGAGAGGTGCAGAGGTGCTTGGTGGTGTGATGGGGATGTGGTTGGCTCAGTGGACGAATTGGTGGAGCTCAATCCGGGCATCAACTGCACTGATTGCACCGCCTGGAACGCTCCGACTGTGAACCAGCAGGTGAGATGCAGTGCAGTGAGGTCTAGTGCGGTGCATAGCGGTGCTTGATGGTGTGGCAAGCAATTTCTGGCTCTCAGTAGACGAATTGGTGGAGATCAACCCGGGGATCAACTGCACTGACAGCACCGCCTGGAATGCTCCGACTGTGAACCAGCAGGTGAGAAGCAGTATAGTACGGTGTAGTGCGGTGCTGTGTGGTGCAGTGCGGTGCTCGGTGGTGTGACGGACACGTTCTGGCTCACAGTGGACGAGTTGGTGGAGCTCAACCCGGGGATCAACTGCACTGATTGCACCGCCTGGAACGCTCCGACCGTGAACCAGCAGGTGAGATGCGGTGTAGAGCGATGTAGTGCGGTGCAGTGCGGTGCTTGGTGGGGTGGCGAGTACGTTTTGGCTCAGTGGATGAATTGGTGGGGCTCAACCCGGGGATCAACTGCTTGTGTGGTGAAGGGCAGCCCATGCTGCCCATGTGCACGGCATGGTACACAGTGCAGGCAGGGGACACGTGTGAGAGCATCATGAAGGATTTCTTTTTCAACCCAACCAAACCCACTTTCTTCCCTCGTCTCGCCCACTCCCACTACCCCCCCAACCCCACACCTGCTTCCCCTCCTTGCTTCCCTTCTTCCTCCCTGCAGCTGTGTGTGGCGAAGGGCAGTAACGGGGGGGACGTGCCCACGCTGCCCATGTGCACGGCATGGTACACAGTACAGTCAGGGGACATGTGTGAGAGCATCATGACGGACTTTTCTCTCAACCAAACTGCCTTCTTCTCACTCAACCCGGGCGTGGGCTGCGACAGCCTATTCTTTCCCTCTGTTGGGGGCGCTGACTTCGACTGGAGTGGGAATGGCGTGCAGGTGAGGGCTGGGATGCAGTGATGTGGGTGTGGGATGGCGTGCAGATGAGGGGTGGAGTGCGGTGATAACGCAAGAGGGGTGGATGGTATGTGTTTTATTCACGCCTGTTTCACGCTTCGCAAGGAATTGGGCTGCAAGAAAAAAGAAGAAGAAGAAGAAGAAGAAAAAAACAAACTCATTACTTTCTACATCCCTACCACAGGTGTGTGTGGATGCCTATCTAGCGGACACCACCGGCACATCCACCCCTCGCTCACTCCGCGAGCTCCTCCGGACGCCACCACTCCTCACCTCCTCATCCTCTGTTTTGACTTTCTCAACACGAGGAAGACTGCTCGGTCTTGACACCTCCTCCCACCCATCAGCCTCCTCCACGCATCGCCTCCCAACCCTCATTCCGTCTCACTCCGCGCAACCATTGAGAGGCCGCCAGCTGGCGGCGTCAAAGAAGCGGTGCCTGGCGTTCTACTCGGTGACGCGGGGGGACTTCTGTGCGCGCATCATATCGCTCAAGTTCCAGAACAGCGCGCGTTTGCTTGCGGATCTGAACAACGGATACGTGTGCACCAACGACAGGCTCTATGTGGGTCTGAGCCTCTGCACTCGCCGATAGCAGACAGGCAAAGTTGACTTGTAAAGATGTGCTGGGGAAGAAGCGGAGGCTGGCAGAACTGAACAATGGATACGTGTGCACCAATGACTGGCTCTATGTGGGGCTCACGCTTTGCACTCGAAGGTAGATGGGAGTGCTGACACAACACCCATATGCTGTAACCCAGAAGGTGCTGTGCATGGTGGTGGTAACTGTCAGCACCCAGCAGGGAATAAGCTGACCCCGGACAGCCAGCACAGAGCAGAGCATTAGTGGGGCTTGGAGGATTAGGTTTGGTGTTGGGGTGTCCCTTCGTCGTGCAAGCCGAAAGCAGGGGTTTCGAATTTCCTCCTGGTATGGTATCTCCGAGTGCATTTTTTAGACATATCAAAAAGTTGCGAGCAGAAGGCAGGGTGTTGGCATCTCCAATGGTAGTTCTGGCCGCAAACGGCTGGGAATCATCAAACTGGACAGTCAACGCAGAGCAGAGCCTCGGCGGGCAATGTGAAAGGCGATTCCAGCCAGTCGTTGTTAGGGAAGGCTTCATTATATCATAGTATGTACTGCATTGTGTACTACCTTTGTAGGCGTTCTCTTGGTGGGTCGTACTATACCTTTGTAAGCTTTCCCTTGGTGGATTGTTTGTATGGTATGCATTGAGAAATCTAAGCTGAATACCATATTTATTTTCCTTACAAAATACTCACATAGTTCTGTAACGTTTATTTGTTTCGGCAATTTCTGGTTTCGTGACCAAGTTTCGTCCACAGGGATCTAGGTTTCCGCTTCCCACGGAAACACCTGCAGCAACCTGCGCAGGCACCAGGGCCTGCCTGGACTGTCGTAACTCGATATTCAGTGCCACGGATACACACACATGCTATCCGTGTGTAGTGCTATCCTTTTGTCTCTTTCAAAGGTTTTTTTCATGAAAGGTGGCTACGGTAAGCTGAATATTATGTAAAAATTTATTTTGGCAGAACTCCATGTTGAATGATTCTGCTAATTCAAGATTATTTTGTTACGTGAAAATACAAAAGATTTCTGTAATGACAAAGGTGTGTCTGCCGCTCCTTGCGCGCCATCCGGCCCTGGCGTCTTGCCGAGCAGAACCGAATCGCAGGCAACAACTCCAACCAAGCCTCAGTCAGTTGCCGCCTTTCCGAAAGCTTCTTCTGACTGAGGTTTTGAGGTGGACGTGCGTGACAGGACGGGGAGGGAGAGATGAAAGGGGCATGCGTGAGTTGACAAAATGCTGCTCCGATATTTCCTTGAAAAAGTGTGCGTGCAAGAGAGGTCCACGAGTGAGCTGAGCAGCTTCCTTCCCTCCCTTCCCCGTTCCCCGCCTGTGCACTTCCTTCGCAAAGCATCCCGCGAGCTGTCTAACGGCTGTGTTCGTGACGAGCTCAGGGGTATGAACACGAACACGAGCTGTCCAAAGCAGGGATTTCATTTCAAACCGCTGAGCGAGTCGTGATAGTCCGTCCACGCGATCCAATACTGTATTTTTAGGCGTCTCAAAATATTCGGCTCGATTTTCTGTTGGCGCCTCGGAAATTGCCCCGTCTGGTTGATCTAGGACTACCCGACTTCTGAGGGGTGAGAAATTGCCCTGTCTGGTTGCCCAAGAGTCGCCTCGGAGGGGTGCGCCGCGTCGACTGCCACGTCCCAAAAGGGGCAGTTCGACTAAAAACTAGTTTTGAGTCGACTAAAAACTAGTCACCGCCGAGGGGTCCGCCTCGTCGACTGTCGCGTCCTAAAAGGGGCTTTTCCACCGTCGCTGCTCGGATAATCGAGAGCAGCGTGCCTCGAGATTAGAGCAGCGTGCCTCGAGATTAGAGCAGCGTGCCTCGAGATTAGAGCAGCGTGCCTCGGGATTAGAGAAGCGCGCCTCGGGATTAGAGCAGCGCGCCTCGAGATTAGAGCAGCGTGCCTCGAGATTAGAGCACCGTGCCTCGAGATTAGAGCAGAGCGCCTCGGGACTAGAGCAGCGTGCCTCGGGATTAGAGCAGCGCGCCTCGAGATTAGAGCAGCGTGCCTCGAGATTAGAGCAGCGTGCCTCGGGATTAGAGCAGCGCGCCTCGGGATTAGAGCAGCGCGCCTCGAGATTAGAGCAGCGTGCCTCGAGATTAGAGCAGCGTGCCTCGAGATTAGAGCAGCGCGCCTCGGGACTAGAGCAGCGTGCCTCGGGATTAGAGCAGCGCGCCTCGAGATTAGAGCAGCGTGCCTCGAGATTAGAGCAGCGTGCCTCGAGATTAGAGCAGCGCGCCTCGTGACTAGAGCAGCGTGCCTCGGGATTAGAGCAGCGCGCCTCGAGATTAGAGCAGCGCGCCTCGTGACTAGAGCAGCGTGCCTCGGGATTAGAGCAGCGCGCCTCGAGATTAGAGCAGCGCGCCTCGAGATTAGAGCAGCGCGCCTCGAGATTAGAGCAGCGTGCAACGAGATTAGACAGACCGAACCAAAGCCCCTTTTCGTGCCGCGGACAGCCGCCGCCATGCGCATCCTCGGCGGAGTTTGTTGTCACGCGCCATTGCAATTCATAAGCAATCGCGTCCTCGGCGGCGTTTGTTGTCACGCGCCGCACGGGGCGGCGGCTCAGCGGCCCTGCGATTTGCTATCGAATCAAACCTTCCCTCGCGCCGCCGCGCGCGGAGGGAGACTCCTCTCTTCTGACTCGCGGCGTCGCGGTTCAACGTCCAACGGTAGAGACTTCTTCGCGTCCCGGCAGGCGTGCTACGCGGTGATCGTTCTTCTCGCCGCGCTGCTCGCTAGTGGCGGCGTCGCTGTTGCTGTCGCAGGTCAGTCATTCGTCGGCCCGTCCTCCCTTGAAGGCCCGCTCTTCTTATCGTGTTATCTTGAAGGCAGCAACCACCAAGTCCATCCCCTCCTTCTCCCTCCCTTCCGAGGCCACTCTTTGTCGACTCGACAAGTCCCACCGGTGCCACTCTCTGTATCGCGGCTATTAGAATCGAATCAAATCCCGTCCCTCTCCCCTTTGAACCCTATTCCTCCCCCCTCCCTTCCCTTCCCCCTCCCCTCCCCAACTCCCTTTCCCTTCCCCCTCCCCCCTTCCTCGTCTCTCCCCCGTCTGCCCGGCGGTCCCTTTCTACAATATAATTTACGTAGCCCCTCGAAAGCAGAAAACACCGAGCTATCCATGGAGCGCGAATCCTGCTCTTGCCTCGGTGACTCCCAAGTACGCGAACCGCTTCTTCCGGCTGATCAGCACGCTCTTCGACGCGTCCACGGGGAACGTTATAACGGAGATTCTTACCGACGGTCGCAACTGGGTGGAGGATCCGCGCCTCGAGCCCGTTCTCGCGCTGCGCTCCGAGGGCAAATGCAGTGAGTGTTGCGCGGCGAGGGCAAATGCAATGAGTGTGACGCGGCGAGGTTTATTTTCCCAACCATGGTGGTGGTACTAGTGCTCTGGTGTGACGTGACTCACCCTTCATGCATACACGAACTCTTACTTATCCCATGAATGAAGCATTTCTCAGCCTTTCTCCACTTCCCCTCTTCCCGCCCACCTCCCCCTCCCCTCCGCCCCTTCCTCCCCCCTCCCCTCCGCCCCTTCCTCCCCCCTCCCCTCCGCCCCTTCCTCCCCCCTCCCCTCCGCCCCTTCCTCCCCCCTTCTCCCCTTCCCTCCGCCCCTTCCTCCCCCCTTCTCCCCTTCCCTCCGCCCTTCCTCCCCCCTCCTCTCCGCCCCTTCCTCCTTTCCCCCCCTCCCCCTCCAGAGGCATCATGGGCCATCACAGCAGTGAGCGCGGTGGAAATGGCGTACGCGTTAGTGGCCGCCTCGACGCCCTCCATGGATCCCCCCCAGCGCTTATCAGTGCAACAGGTGCGGAAGCTAAGCTACTATCCAAGCACGGGCTTTAATCTGTGCAGTTACACAATGCAGTTGGGGAAGGGGGAAAGGGAAGGGGGGAAGGGAAGGGGTGGGAAGGGAAGGAGGGGGGAAGGGAAGAGGGGGGAAGGGAAGTTGGGGGAGGGAGAGGGGGGCTCTCATTGCGACGGCTCTGTGCTCTACTTCCCCTCCATCCCAATTCCCTTGGCTTCTGGGCTGCCAACTTGCACCAGCTAATGGGGGCTCCCCTTGGCTTCGGTCACACCCCTTCCGTGCTTCATTCACCCCCCTCCCCTCTGTCGTTTCCCGGCCCCCGAATTCCGCAGGTGCTGGAATGCAGGAACAGCACGGGCAGCAGCTGTGCGGCGGGCGGGTGGCCGACAGCAGCGCTGGACTTCATGGTGGACGCCACAATGACGTGGGGGGGGCTTGCGAGCGATGCTGGCTATGCGTACACGCAGAAGGACGGCAAATGCAACCGCAACAAGGTACGCCCGGGGGTGGTTTGCCTGGGGGAGGTTTGCGAGGGGGTGGTCTGCCTGGTGGAGGTTTGCTTGGGGGAGGACGCCTGGGGGAGACTGCATCGGGGAGGGTGCACTCAGGATCGGTGCCTTGCCCATGTATAGGACTCATATGTTTCTTGTCCCTGTATTTGTGTCCTGACCTTGTGCGGAGAGTCACTCTACAATGGTTGGAGCTAAACTAATACGGGTGGTACAAGTAATCATCGCAACTTTGAGTGTGCTCTCACTACTTGCACGTTTACAGAACAATTTGACAAGAGTTTCACTAGCAAAACGAGAATACATAATGATAGAAATCGCAATGGCAAAATGACTACATCTGGAATTAAGCAGCCTAGCGACCGGGCAGGTCGACCTCCACCTCAGCAACGGGGCGACCTGCCAGCAGAGCAGGTCAACGGTCTGCCAATGCAGCAAGGAGTCGGCTTGCCAATGCTGCAGCAAGACGGCTCGCCAGCGTTGTAACCGCAGATAACTATAGCGCATACACGCACCCACTTCGTAGGTGCTTGTAGACGGTCGCGTACATTGTGCCTCGTCCCGCCCGTCGCGCGAGTGCCAAGTCGGCCACGTGCCAATGGTCGCGCCAGATGCTCCACGTTTACCTCGGGATACCAGCCCGTAGGTCGACTTCGCCAATGCCTCCAACAACGAAGCTCGCGCACCTGCCAAGCTTCGCCATCGAGCAACTCCTCTTGATCAGTTCGACATTGCTCTGTGGAACAACACTCCTCAATGAGCTCGTCGACCACCCAGGTCGATGACGGCCGTCGACCTCCCTTGTCGATGGCTTCGTAATGGCCCCCGCTGGTCGACCAACATCGTCAACCTGCTCACCCAAGTCGGTGTCGACCACTGCAGGCAATCGGCTACACCCTCTGTGCACCCGACCACAAAGTCAGCTTCGCCCAAGCGCGGGCGGAGCCTATTTCGGTCAACACCTTGCACCCTTACCCTTGTGCTCATACCCCTGCGCTCATGCCCTTGCGCGCAACCTTGCGCCCATACCCCTGCGCCCATGCCCCTGCGCCCATGACCCTGCACCCATGCCCATGCGCTGCGCCTGTGCCCATGTGCCCATGCCCTGTCTCCTCCACCCCAGGCGAAGCAGCAGGCGACAACCATAGGCATCACGGGGTACGACCAGGTGGACTACTACGGCTGGCTTGGCCTGATGCTCGCTGTTTACGTGAGTCCATGTGCCAAAACTGGTTACCACTCGCTTTGTTACTCAAGAGTTGGCAGAGAAAACGTCTTCTATGGTATAGCCTGCTTGGCATGCTCCTCGATGTCAATGCTCCTCACTGTCAATGTCAATGCCCCTCGATTAAAAAGCGAGTTATCACACGCTTGGCATGCTCCTCGTTGTCAATGTCCCATTCCCCATCTCCCCTTCTCTCCTCTCTTCTCCTCTCTTCCCGTTCCCTCCCTTCCCCCTCCCCTCTCCACCCCCCCCCCTCTTCCCTCCCCTCCTACCCACTCCCCTCCGCCCCGTTTCCTCCCTGCTACAGGCTCAGCCCACCATTGCATTCGTGCGAGGCTCCTATACAACTTTCCAGTCCTACACAGATGTAAGGGAAACAGTGATTTGGTGCATCAAAGTCAATGCAGGGGTTCCTACTCCTCCTTCTAGACTCAAAGGCTCTTGCCCCACGTTATAGGCCTCCACCGAGGTACAGGAAGCAGTTGTTTGGTGTATGTTAAGTCGAGTCGAGGACTCGAGGCGTCTCAAAACAACCTGTGACCCTCCTCAACCTTTTCCCTTTCCCGCCACCTCCCTTCATCTCCCACTCTCCCTCAGGGCAAATACAGCAACTCTGGGTGTGCAGCGGCGGGGGTGGTGTATCACAGCGTGGTTGTGATGGGGTCTGTTCATCCTTCCTCTACTCCCTCCAAACCTGCTTCCCTCCCCTTCCCTTCCCTTCCTCCACCTCTCTTCCACATCCCTCACCCCCTCCCCCAGGGCATATACGGCGACCCAGGGTGTGCAGCGGCGGGGTGGTGGATCACAGCGTGGTGCTGAGCTGATGGGTTGGTCTGCATAAGCCCTGTCATGCCGCTCTTTGTCTTGTGCTCACCCTGTCCCTTCTCTACCACTTTTCGGCCCCTCTTCAGGGCATATACGGCGACCCGGGGTGTGCAGCGGCGGGGGTGGTGGATCACAGGGTGCTGGTGATGGGGTGGTCTGCATGAGCCCTGTCATGCCGCTCTTTGTCTAATCCTCACCCTGTCCCTTCTCTTCCACTTTTCGTCCCCCCCTTCAGGGCATATACGGCGACACAGGGTGTGCAGCGGCGGGGGTGGTGGATCACAGTGTGGTGGTGATGGGGTACAGCATCACAGCAATCGAGGGAGCCTACTGGATCCTCCGCAACTCCTGGGGGGCCACCTGGGGTATGCAGGTGGGATGTGCCGCATACTGCTAGGCTCTAACCTCCCTGTACTCACTGCCACACCCCCATGCCCCTCGTAGCTCTCGTTGTGCTGGTGATGGGATACAGCATCACATCGTCTTCCCTCTAATTCTCCTTCCGATATATATATATATATATATATATATATATGTATATATATATGTACATATATATATGTGTGTACTTCCAACAGAACCCAATAAACGATCTCTGCATTCCCACTCTCTGCATGCAGGGTTACATGAAAATGGCCTTTGAGGGAGGCGTTGGCATCTGTGGCATTCACTCAGTGCCGGCCCTCTACCCCATCATTCAGAGTGAGTAAACCCCCTCGTCTGTACCTGCTATGCAGTACATGCGTGCATGTGCACGTGCACATGAGAACTTGCACACACCCTGGGCATTGACAGTTTCGTCTGTAGCGAGCTCTCAGTGCCTGCCATCTACCCTGCCATCTACCCTGCCATCTACCCTGCCATCTACCCTGCCATCTACCCTGCCATCTACCCTGCCATCTACCCTGCCATCTACCCTGCCATCTACCCTGCCATCTACCCTGCCATCTACCCTGCCATCTACCCTGCCATCTACCCTGCCATCTACCCTGCCATCTACCCTGCCATCTACCCTGCCATCTACCCTGCCATCTACCCTGCCATCTACCCTGCCATCTACCCTGCCATCTACCCTGCCATCTACCCTGCCATCTACCCTGCCATCTCCCCTCCGCCCTCTCCCCTCCGCCCTCTCCCCTCCGCCCTCTCCCCTCCGCCCTCTCCCCTCCGCCCTCTCCCCTCCGCCCTCTCCCCTCCCCTCCGCCCTCTCCCCTCCGCCCTCTCCCCTCCGCCCTCTCCCCTCCGCCCTCTCCCCTCCGCCCTCTCCCCTCCCCTCCGCCCTCTCCCCTCCGCCCTCTCCCCTCCGCCCTCTCCCCCCCGCCCTCTCCCCTCCGCCCTCTCCCCTCCGCCCTCTCCCCTCCGCCCTCTCCCCTCCGCCCTCTCCCCTCCGCCCTCTCCCCCCCGCCCTCTCCCCCCCGCCCTCTCCCCTCCGCCCTCTCCCCTCCGCCCTCTCCCCTCCGCCCTCTCCCCTCCGCCCTCGCCCCTCCGCCCTCTCCCCTCCGCCCTCTCCCCTCCGCCCTCTCCCCTCCGCCCTCTCCCCTCCGCCCTCTCCCCTCCGCCCTCTCCCCTCCGCCCTCTCCCCTCCGCCCTCCGCCCTCCGCCCTCCGCCCTCCGCCCTCCGCCCTATGCCCTCTGCCCTCTGCCATGGTTACTTATGGCCCCTCGGGCCTGCCGTTCTTTCGTTCTTCTGATCTCATTCTGTTCTCTCCTCCCTCCTCCCTCCTCCGTCCTCCCTCCTCCGTCGTCCCTCCTCCCCCTCCCTCCTCCCTCCTCCTCCCTCCCTCCCTCCTCCTCCCGTCCTCCGTCCTCCTCCTCCCTCCTCCCTCCTCCCTCCTCCCTCCTCCCTCCTCCCTCCTCCCTCCTCCCTCCTCCCTCCTCCCTCCTCCCTCCTCCCTCCTCCCTCCTCCCTCCTCCCTCCTCCCTCCTCCCTCCTCCCTCCTCCCTCCTCCCTCCTCCCTCCTCCCTCCTCCCTCCTCCCTCCTCCCTCCTCCCTCCTCCCTCCTCCCTCCTCCCCTTCCCACCTCCCCTTCCCACCTCCCCCTTCCCCTACCCTACCCACGCCACACACGGCGTCCCCGCCATGCCTGTCACCTCCTCCCACCCTCCTCCCCTCTCCCCTTACCCCTTGCCCCCCCCCCACAACAGCGCCCTTGCCATGCCAGTCACCACAGAACCCACATAGCCAGTGCGAGGCAGGCATGGCCGCTACCACGCATGCACGTGACTGGAATCACTCTTTTAAGGCGCCACACAGCTCCTCTCTCCCCCCTCCCTGCACCAGCACCCTTGCCGTGCCAGTCATCGCAGAACCCTTGTGGGGGAGGCCAATGCGAGGCAGGAATGGGTAGCTCCTATGTATGCGTGTGTCTGGACCCGCTCTTTTGAGAGGCCTCACAACTCCTTTCCCCCTTCCCCTCTCCCCCCTCCCCCCTCCCCCATCCCCCCTCCCCCCTCCCCCCTCCCCCTCCCCCTCCCCCCCCCCCACCAGCGCCCTTGCCATGCCAGTCACCGCAGAACCCATGTGGGGGAGGCCAATGCGAGGCGGGCATGGGTAGCGCCTACGGATGCGTGTGTCTGGATCCAATCTTCATTCCCGTCGCTGACAAGGGCGATGCCCAGACGTGTGTGTATGGTGAGTGCCTCACAAACGCCCTGTAAACAAGGCGACATTTGAGTCGACTCAAAAGCTCACACTCCTTATCACCCACTTGCCTTGCATCATAGTCTTCCCTCCCTATACCCTTACATTGACCTCCCCATCCCCTGTTACCCTTCCTCATCCCTCTTCCCTTTCCTCCTCTCCTGCCTTTCCTGATAGCTAAATGCATATGCTCCCCCCCCCTCCCTCTCCCTCACCCTCCACCGCCCCTCCCTCCTCTTCCCTCTCCGCCTAATAAAAACTCCCCTTGCGCGTCTTCCCCTTCTCCTGCATCTCCTCCCCTTCCATTGTCCCTCTTCCCCTCCCGTTGCCCCTCTTCCCCTCCCGTTGTCCCACTTCCCATGCCGCTGCCCACTCGCTCCCGCCCACTCGCCCCCTGCCAGCTGACGCGTGCAGCCAGCAGGACGAAAACCCGTGTGCGGTCGGCACGTGCATCAACGACAATGCGGGCGGCTTCTTCTGTCTCTGTCCGCCGGGATTCGACCAGGGCTACCGTCCCAACGGTGCTCACACATGCGTCCCATGTAAGTGTTCAAGCGGGCGGCTACTCTTGTCTTTTGGTCACCATGTTCTCGCATCCGTCCAACTACGTGTGGCTGACTTCTGAACCTTCACTGCATCTTCTTCTCTCTTGTGTTCTTCTCAATCCTCAATTGCCTCTCCTCTTTCTCGCCTCTTCTCCCCTCCTTTCGCCTCTCCTCCCCTCCTCTCGCCTCTCAACTTCTTCTCATTTCTCCTCCTCTTCTCGCCTCTCCTCTTCTCACCTCTCCGCTTCTTGCTTCTCACTCGCCTATCCCAACGTCCCTGCTGCCACCCTCCCCTACACCTGCACTGTCATCTTCTTATAGGCATCGCCTCTCTCCATCACCCAACACCTCCACACTATTTTTCACTCCAAACCTTTCCCTTGCGTGCTCCCCCTGCACCCCTGCAGCCGTCCCCCCCTACAAATACTCCGTCGTCTTCCCAATCGACATCGACTGCCCGCTTGTTTACCAGCTCTACGGCCTCACAGAGGAGGCGTTTCTCGCTCAGAACCCAGACCTGGTGAGATCTCTTACAACCTCGCTCCCTCCTGTATTGCCCCTTCATTCCGCTCGTCTACTAGCTCTGCGGCCTCACAGAGGAGGCATTTCGTGCTCTCACTCCACTGACAGTTTGGAAAGCACGCTCAAAGAACTAAATACCTCCGGTCTCCTCTCTTCAACCAGCCGTTCCCACGCCTCAAACTTCCCGCCCACCCTCCACCCCACTCCACTCCACTCCACCCCACCCCACTCCATCCCACCCCACCCCACCCACCCCCAGGGCGTGGATCACTGTGTGACCATCCCCGCCAACACGCAAGTGACGGTGGCGCCGCCCCTCATGGGGGCAGTGCACTGTGTGCTCTACTACTCGTGGACGGCAAGTGACACGTGCCAGAGCGTGGCCGACAATTTCTGGCTCACATTGGACGATCTCCTGACGCTCAACCCGGGAATCAACTGCACTGATAGCACCGCCTGGAACGCTCCAACTGTGAATCAGCAGGTGAGGTGCGGTGCAGTGCAGTGCAGTGCAGTGCCGCGGCAGTGCGGTGCAGTGCGGTGCTCGGTGGTGTGATGGGCACGTTCTGGCTCACAGGGAACGACCTGGTGACGCTCAACCCAGGGATCAACTGCACGTGTCAAAGCATCATGGCACCCACTCCCATCAAGCCCTTTCTTACTCCCTTTCCTCGTCTCCCCTTGTCCTACCTCTATGCGCTCTCCTTACCCCCTCCCTGCAGTTGTGTGTGGCGAAGGGCAGCGGGGGAGGGGACGTGCCCAAGCTTCCCATGTGCACGCTGTGGTACACAGTGCAGGCAGGGGACACGTGTGAGAGCATCATGACGGATTTTGCTCTCAACAAAACCGCCTTCTTCTCACTCAACCCGGGCGTGGGCTGCGATAGCCTCTTCGCATCTGCTGGGGGCAGCAGCCTCGGCTGGAGTGGAGGTGGTGTGCAGGTGAGAGGTGGGGTACAAGGGTGGGATGCGGTGATCATGGGTGAGGGAATGGGGGTTGAGTCTCCATGTCAAGTTCTCACTCAACCGGGGGGTGGGCTGCGATAGCCTTTTCCCGTCTGTCGGAGGCAGCGGGTTCGGCTGGAGTGGGGATGGTGTACAGGTGAGGGACAGGGGGCACGTGCAAGCATGGAGCAGGTGAGGGTTGGAATGTGGTGGAGATATGGGGTGTGATTTCTCAGAATCTTCTCGCTCAACCCAGAGGTGGGTTGTGTCAGCCTCTTCCCCCCCATCAAAGGCAGCGGCTTCGGCTGCAATGGAAACGGGTGTGCAAGTGAGGGGAATGCGGTGATGATGCGGAGAGTCCCTTTACGCTGAGAGCTGGACTACAGGGGAAATTACGGGTGGTACGAGTGATCGTAGCAGCTTTGTCTGTGTTCTCCCTACTTGCGCATTCACGGTGAAAGTTGGCAAGGGTTGCATTAGCAAAAGGTTCAAAATAATGATGCTCAGAATTGCAATGACAGCTCTGACTCCATCAGAGCCTAGTAACCTAGCAAACCGCAGGTCGACCGCCAACGCAGCAAGACGACGCTCTGCCGACGCAACAAATCGGCGGTCTGCCAATGCAACTCGATGGCGGCATAGCAGCACGGCAAGTCGGCGACCTGCCAGCGCTGCTCCAAGGTGGCTTGCCAACGCTGCAATGAGGCGGCTTGCCAGCGTTGCAAATGCGGGTGACTCTAGCGCATGCGCACACCCACTTCGCAGGTACGGTTGAGCGCATCATGCACCGCCCCGAATATTGCGCAGGCGCCAATTCGGTCACATGCCGACGGTTGCGTCTGATGAGTCACGTCGATCTCGGGATACTAGCCCGAGGTTGATTTCACCAAAACCGCCTGGACGACGTCCGCGCACCCTCGCAGAACCTTGTCGCCCGGCTTACTTGGTCGCCAAGTCGACTCCGATTTGCGCGGTAGAAGCCCGCCAACTGATGCAAGTGCTCGTCGGCCTCCCGGGTCCACGCTACCCCACCGACTTCACCAAGTCTGCGTCCCCAAAGGTCGAAAAAACTCTTCGACGACCACTCCAGTCGAAGTTGGCCGCCGACCTCCCGTCGTCGGTGACGCCGCAGTGGTCCCTCGCAGGTCGACCAACTTTGTCGATCTGCTCGCCCAGACCTCTGCAAGCGGTCGGCTGCACCTCCCGCGCACCCAACCGTATAGTCGGCTTCGCCCAAACGAGGGCGGAGCCAACTCCCGTCAATCGACGATGGGAGTGGGAATGGTGTGCAAGTGAGGGGTGGGATGAGATGATGATGGGAGTGGGAATGAGGGGTGTGATTTTTCCATGCCTTCTCACTCAACCAGGGAGTGGGCTGCAACAGCCCCTTCCCCTCCTTCGGGGGCAGCAGGGCTGACTTTGGCGGGAGCGGGGATACGTGCAGTGCAGGTGAGAGTTGGGGGAGCATGTGAGGGATGGGGAGCAGGTGAGGAGTGGGGAGCATGTGAGGGGTGGGGAGCAGGTGAGGGGTGGGGAGCAGGTGAGGAGTGGGGAGCATGTGAGGGGTGGGGAGCAGGTGAGGGGTGGGGAGCAGATGAGGAGTAGGGAGCAGGTGAGGAGTAGGGAGCAGGTGAGGGGTAGGGAGCAGGTGAGGGTAATACAGCAGTGATTATGCTTGCCATTTGTAAGTCCCCTCCATTCCACGCCCATCACGATTACACCCCCCATCACAATCCCACGCCCATCACCATCACCATCCCAATGCACCCAGGCCATTGCCCTCACTCTCACACCTCACACGCCCATCTCCCCCCACGACATAACACGCCCTTCACACCCATCCCCATCGCATGTGTGTGTGGATGCATACCTAATGAATACCTAAGGCCCCTTGCCCTCACTCTCACACAGTTCCTGCAATTGCTCACTTTTCCCCCTTTGTGCTCCATGCCTATCCATCCCATCGCAGGTGTGTGTGGATGCATACCTCGCCAATGCACCCGGCCCGTTGCACTCACTCTCACACCATTCCTCTCTCGCCCATCTCCCCCCACAATATAACAACACGCCCTCCATGCCATCCCCATCGCAGGTGTGTGTGGATGCATACCTCACCGATGCATACGGCCCAATCAAGCCTCGCTCACTCCAAGAGCTCCCCCACACCTTCTCCTCCTCCTCCTCCTCCTCCTCCTCCTCCTCCTCCTCCTCCTCCTCCTCCTCCTCCTCCTCCTCCTCCTCCGCCCTCTCATCTTTCTCAGTACGAGGAAGGCTGCTGGGTCTCCACACCTCCTCCTCCCACCCATCACCCTCCTTCCTGCCTCGCCTCCCAACGCTCGTCCCGTCTCACTCCGCGCAACCAATGAGAGGGCGCCAGCTGGCGGTGTCGAAGCGGCGGTGCTTAGCGTTCTACTCGGTGACGCGGGGGGACTTCTGTGCGCGCATCATATCGCTCAAGTTCCAGAACAGCGCGCGAAAGCTGGCAGATTTGAACAACGGATACGTGTGCACCAATGACCGGCTGTATGTGGGGCTGAGCCTTTGCACACGCAGGTAGAGGAGGTAGGGGAGTGCCTTTGATGCGCCTCAATTGGTGCTCTGCATCGGAAACTAGAGGAGCTGAACAATGGATACGTGTGCAGCGATGACCGGCTGTATGTGGGGCTGAGCCTTTGCACTCGAAGGTAGGAGTGCCTTTGCACTAGGAGTGAGGGCTTTGAAGGCGCGGTGTCGCAGAAGCTGTTTTTGAGGCGCCTCAAGAACAGGTGCGGTGCATAGTGGTGGCAAGTGGCTGTGCCATCCTCGAGGCCTCCTTTCTGGCCTTTGTGAGGCCTGGAGGGGTAGATTAGGTGTTTGGGTGTCCCTTAGGAGGGCAAGCAGGAGGAAGGGTGCTGGCATCTCCCTTTCGTCTTTCCGACTGCCTGCGACCAGCTGGGAATAATTTTTTTGGACAGCCAGTGCAGAGCCTTAGAATGGCATTTGTTCTGGATTGCATTTGCATTTCCAGTCAGAGGATTGTCAGGGAGGGCTTCGATCGAGCACGTGTTCTGCCGTATGTACTTGTTTGTGTGTGTTGTCATGTGTGTATTGTAATGCTTGTATTGCTGTATTCCATGGAAGCTTGGCTGTGGCCGAGCGTGAAGCTTGGGTGGCCATCTGTGTGTTTTCTGATACCAGGAGTCTCAACTTGCAGCACAGCTGCGGATGGATAGAGTGATGGATGGTGGTACGGTACTAGTCGCCCTCACAGGTTCGGTGCTGCTGATTGGAAACAACCAATCTTGAGCCCGTACGAGCCACACCACACCACACCGCATCCATGTTGCACCTGGTTTTGAGAAGTTGCAAGCGCAATTATCGATACTGGTAACCAAGCTGAGTGTGTGCAACGAAGGAGCAGGCATATCTCATGGAGGAGTTGAGGGCACAGCTGGCCTGGCCTAACAAGCCACACCACACCACAGCACACCACAGCACACCACAGCACACCACACTGCACCGCATCCATGTTGCACCTGCTTTTAAAAAGGTGGACATGTGGTTCTCTAACGCAGTCTGTTACAGAGCATGCGCTGCTACAGCTATAGCATCACGCGCTTAGTCACAAATAATGCTTGTGACGCGAAGTTACGAAGACGCGTCAAGATGAGAATGTACCCTGAAAGCGCGACATCATCGTTATTATTATTGATCAATGAGGTGCCTTAATAACAAACAGACACTGCCATTTGCACAATAATAGACCGTGCCAGACTAGCTCGAATTACCATACCTACTCACATACAGCTTAAGATTAGGGATGCGAGTGAGAACGGAAATTTACCGAACCCCTCTGCACCTCACACGACATCTCCTGGCTGCACTAAAACACGCCATAGCCAGCATCATTGCAGCGTTTCTGAGCGGCCAGCACAAACCCCCTTTCCGGATCGTCACTCCTTTGAATGCCAACCCCACCGCTGCCAAACCCAATATCATCCGGCATCAGGAAAAGGTCATCCAAGCATGCATCTGGAACCGAGGCATGCATGCATGGGTCCATGGAGCAACTGCTCATGCTCCCGACAGCCATGCCCATGCTGTCCACTCTACTGAGTTGCCGTGTGTTGGATTGACTACTGCCATTCTGGAAGCTAGTGCGCGCGCCAGTGCTCGTGCTAGCACTCGTGGGTGCGTGTGCTGTACAAGTGGGAAGCATACTCTGCGGCCCTGCACTTGCACACAGCCCATGCAGGATCGTGTGGCCTGTGGGAAGCCCAGTGAGGCCTGTAAGGCTCGGTATGGGAGTGCTGCTGCTTCTATTGGGACCGCCACTGCCTGTATAATCTGCCAGCTGCTGCTCCTGCTGCTGCTGCTGCTGCTGCTGCTGATGTTGCTGCTGCTGCTGCTGCTGCTGTTGGTGTTGCCATTGCTGCTGATGTGGTTGTTCTTGTTGTCGCTCCTGCTGCTCCAGCTGCAGCTGTTGATGTGGCTCCGACTGAAGAGGCTGCTGCTGCTGCTGCTGGGAAGAAAGCAGAAGGGAGTAACGCGGTTCATCGGCAGCACTCTGCTGAGCACAAGCTGTGCTCGGCTTGACGTCCCAGGGATCACAGGTCGGCCAACAATCTCCACCACAGGCATCCATGGCACCATCATCACCTGACTTTTGAGTCGTCTCAAAAGCCATGGCACCACCAACAGCTGGTCCCACTGAATCACACCTCATCCCACCACCAGGGTTACAGTTAAATGTGGTAACCCCAGGGTTGGTGGCGTTTACACAGGAAGCAGCCAGTATAGGTGGAGTTGACGCAGGGGCGAGTGCTGCTGAGCCGTCGGTATTGGGGACGGGTTGACAGGACCAGCTGTACTCGACGGGCTCGGTTTTCCTGGTGAGTTGGTGAGAGGTGGGAGCTGTTGCGACGTATCCACAAGTGGTGGTATCCGCACTTTGAAGCACCGCGGTTTGATTATCGCAAGGGGGCGGGTTGGCAGGAGGGTCTACAGTGTGAGGTTCGCACTTGGTTACGCCAGTGGCGGCTATGCCGGTGGTGGTTATGCCAGTGGTGGTCATGCCAGTAGCAGTGGTTACGCCAGTAGTGGTTATACCAGTGGTGGTTATG